TTGCTTACGTGTGGGTGTGTTTTCGTCTGACTTTCCTTCACCCCCACCACACCCCCACCCCACCCCGTCCGCCCCCTTACCCCCCTCGTTTCTCACCCCTCCCTTTTCCCTCACCTCTCTGAGTCTCAGTACAGGTTTCCTTCTCCCTGCTTTTCTCTCTCTCTCTTGCCACACTCATAACACCACATCACCTCACTCACCACTCACCACCCTCACTCACCACTCTCACTCACCACTCACCACCCTCACTCACCACTCACCACACTCACCACTCACCAAGCGTGTATAGTCTCAAATTACTTTTACATAATCCTCGGAACAGCTGACCACCATCATCACTACCACTTGTTAACGAGGCAATGTCACGCATCTCTGCTACTTGAGAAGATTAGTGTTAAGGCGAGAGACTGTTAGACTGTTAAACTGTGAGACTGTTAAACTGTTAAAACTGTGAGACTGTTAACTGTGAGACTGTTAGACTGAGACACTGTTGTTAGACTGAGAAACTGTTAAACTGTGAGACTGAGAGACTGCTGTTAGACTGAGAGACTGTTAACTGTGAGACTGTTAAACTGAGAGACTGTTAAAACCGAAACTGAGAGACTGTTAGACTGTTAAACTGTGAGACTGTTGACTGTAGAAGGCGAAGAATTTATATAGTCTTTATCAACAACACAAGTGTCTAAGGTGACGTATAGAGTAAATCTTATCACCCCTATCACCAACACGGCTTATCGCCACCAAGCTGACTCCCAATGTGCTCTTTACACCACACATTACCCCCCCCCCTTCATCAATCCCCTCTTCCCCTAGTCTTCGTCAGGTAGGTCTTCGTCAGGTAGGTCTTCGTCAGGTAGGTCTTCGTCAGGTAGGTCTTCGTCGGGTAGGTTTTCGTCGGGTAGATCTTCGTCAGGTAGATCTTCGTCAGGTAGGTCTTCGTCAGGTAGGTCTTCGTCAGGTAGATCTTCGTCAGGTAGGTCTTCGTCAGGTAGATCTTCGCCAGGTAGATCTTCGTCAGGTAGATCTTCGTCAGGTAGGTCTTCGTCAGGTAGGTCCTCATCAACAACAATAAGGTAATGATGTTTTGTACTAGATAACACAGGTATATTTGATAACATGGTTCAGATGGCATGACAGGCTTATCTTATCAGGTGCGTTAAGCCTTCCAGGTGAAGCGCTGCTCTAGATTGGTCACTTCAGGTGGCAACACGCGTTTAGTTACCTCCCCGTCACTTATGGGAGTTGTTTTAACTAGTTCTGGGTCATTTTGAGTGTGTCGTTCACCTATTTGGGGGCATCATGTCGTCTACTTTCTGGTCGTGTTGGTCTCTAGACGACTTGGACGACCTGGGTTTGGATACGAACTTCGATCTGCCAGGTTAGTACGACTTTCAGGTGAGAGCAAGAGGTAGGCAGGTGAGGAGGACGACTACAGGTAAATGAGATGGATTACCTGAAGATTAACCACCTAAATTTTTTCACATTATAATTAAAACACACTTACCTAACCCCCTCCTCCTGGCAGCAATTGGATATTTTAATCAGCAGGTAAAATAAATGTGGGGTGTTAATCTTTAGGTAATCCAATATAATTATCTGTTTACCTGTCTGGGCCTTCGTTCAAGTGTGTGTGTGTGTGTCACCACGTCGTAGAAAGTAGATGAACTGCCTCTACATCCTCGACCATATATAAACATTCATTCCTGATGCTGTTTTGGGGGTGGTGGGGTGGGTTGTGGGGTAGGAGTGGGTGGTGAGGGGTTGGATGAGGTGGCTGTCAAGAATGTGGGTGTGGCTGGTACCTGTGATGACGAAGTGAAATGTGGGTGGTTGGGAGTGGGTGGGTGGGAGTGGGGGGGGGGGTGGTTTAGAAGGGAAGGTGGTTTATAGGGTGGGGGATGTTGTGGGTGGCGGTAGTGTAGTTGGGGTGTGGTGGGCGGCGGCATGAATGTGTGATGGGCGGCAAGATAAAGGGACAGTATGATGGGCGGCAGTATAAAGGAACTGTGTAATGGGCGGCGATATAAACCCAGTGTGACTTAGTAGGCATAGGGGGAGGAGGAGGAGGAGAGGTAGAAGAGAGGGAGAGGGAGAAAGGGGGAGGGAGAGAGGGAGAGAAAGGAGAGGGAGAGAAAGGGAGAGGGAGTGGGAAGGGGAGAGGGAGGTTAGGATGCCTTGACAACTACTCATTAAATTATCAACAAAGGATGAACTGAATGGGATTATGGGGGGTAGGGAGGGGAAGGTATATGGGGGCAGGTGGGTGGGGAGGGAGGGGCAGGTAGGCACGTAGGAGACAAGAAGCTGAGGTACGGTAATTACAGGTGAGGACTGAGTGAAATTAGGTGGGTCAGTGGGGAAGGTGATTCGCTTGTTGGGCACCTGAACGATACCCCCTCATAACTCTCCTTGCTCCCCTCCTCCACTCCCCCTCCTCTAGTATCTTTTGTGTTGACGTCAGAGAGAGAGAGAGAGAGAGAGAGAGAGAGAGATAGAGAGAGAGAGAGAGAGAGATAATGCAGTGAAATATATAAAGATAAAATGAGATTGAAAAAAAATAGGAACAGAAGAAGTGAGACAGAAAGACAGAGAGTGAGAGAAAGACGGAGACAGGGTAAGAAACAGACAGACAGACAGACAGAACAAAGCCAGGCATCACAGCAACAGTCGCCAGTCCGAGAGAAACTCCATTTATTCTCCTCACTCAATCACTAGTATACAAGGTTACAGGTACAGGTAAACAGGTACAGTCACAGGTACAAATACAGGTAAAAACATATTGCATGATACAGGTAGGGACACACACACACACACACACACACACACACAGTATTTATAAACAAAATGCAATTGGCTGTTGTTTACTTATGTAGAAATCCGGGAGGGGAAGGAGGGAAGAGGAGGAGAGGAAAGAAAAGGGCATGGGACTATTGTGGAAGAGGAACGAGAGGAAGGAAGAGGGAAAGGGAGGGGGAGAGGGGGAAGGGAGGATAAGGAGAAGCGAGGGGGGGGGAGGGGGAAGACAGGGACATACGTACCCAGGAGGACACACACACACACACACACACTGTAGGCGCGGCGTTCAACCTTCACACTAATTTAGAGTCGCTTACAGGTGAGGTCAATGTATATTAGGTATTGTATTGACGGTGAATACTGAGGAAGCCAACTTCTTCTTCTTCTTCTTCTTCTTCTTCTTCTTCTTCTTCTTCTTCTTCTTCTCCTCCCTTCTTCTTCTTCCTATGGTCAGTGCTGAAGATTAACTAACCCACCACCCCAACTTAACCTAATCTAACCTATTACATATACGGTTGTTTTAAGCATCAGGTGTAACAAACTAGGGGTGACTAATCCTCAGGTGATCTATGGAGTCTCGATTTAGGTCTTACGATCACAAAAACCCGATAATTTACCCCTAGAAGTTAGATTTTCGACGTAAGATAAATTCCTCCCTTATCAAGATAGCAAGGAGCTTTTATCTTACTGATCTGAGATAAAAAGATCAGAGGCGGCGAAGTTACCTTTAGACTGTACTGAGGTGTGGTTGGTGGTGTGGTTGGTGGTGTGGTTGCTGTGGTTGTGTGTGGGGGGAGGGGGAGAAGAAGGGGAGATGGAAAGGGGAGAATGAGGGAAGGGGGACGAGAGAGAGGAGAAAGGGGAGGAAGTCGAGAGGGAAAAAGAAGGGGAGGAAGTCGAGAGGGAAAAAGAAGGGGAGGAAGTCGAGAGGGAAAAAGAAGGGGAGGAAGGGGGAATAGGAGGACAGGAGAGGAGGAGGAATAGTAAGAGAGGATAAGGGAAGGAAAGGGGATGGAGAGAGAAAGAGGAGAAGGATGAAAGGAAGATAGAGGTGAGGAAAGAGTCGTTTCTATGTGACCCGGAAAATCGTCTGTAAAATTCTTACCACCGGACGCCCAAGGGTTAAAGTCTTTCCTGTAGAGAATAACCTTAACCTAATTTAGCTTTAACCTAATTTAGCTTTAACCTAATTAAGCTTTAACCTACTTTGACCTTAACCTAATTTGACCTTAACCTAATTTGACCTTAACCTCGCTTAACCTTCACCTAATCTCACTTAATTTACCTGCAGTTTGATTACTTAGCGTCAATAAGACAAACAAATGTATAAATAAATGAAAAGTTAAATGTGATAAATAATAATAATAATAATAATAATAATAATAATAATAATAATAATAATAATAATAATAATAAGTCGTGACCCAGCCATATTAGTTGTTTTGGTGTATGTATGCATGTATGTATGTATGTATGTATGTATGTATGCATGTATGTATGTATGTATGTATGCATGTATGTATGCATGTATGTATGTATGTATGTAGAGAATAAGTAATGAGCCTACAGGTAGGGAGGGAGGGAGGGGGAGGCAACAGAAAGTACAGATATAAGCGACCTCCACTTGGCGTATAAATGTGGGCCACATACACAAGGTAGCTACTGGTTCCCTGCCCACCTCCTCCTCTTGCCAACAGTAGTCCTCTTAAAACTAACCTCTTCTTCCCCACAACAGCATCTCTATATCACACACTACCCTTCAAAAACTAGGCCCAACACGGTAATTTTGTCACTTTCTGCCCTCGTCACACACAAAAAAAAAGTTGAAAGTCTACCCATTCCGCTCCGTCTCGTTCACTTTACTACACCAGAGGCCGTATCTCGACCCCTGAGCGCCTGAACATTACACCTGGATTGGGTTTCAGGCAGGTAAGGTGATTAGTAATTACCTCATTGTGTGTCTCTTTGTCTCGTGTAATTTCCTCGTTGTGGTTCGTCATTGTGATGGGGTGTAGGTAGGAGGGGAGGGGGTGTTATGGGAGGCCACTATGCAGATGGTGTAGGTATCGGACATGTTGGCAGTATTACCTACGGCTATTTTACTCCCTCCCCCCACCCCCCTTTACCTCTCCTCACGCCCACCCTCACCGTTCCCTCCCTCGCCCCCCCCTCCTCCACCCGACCTATGCCCCAGTCCGGGTTCCTGTTCCCAACGCCACAAACCATCGTTCACCATACATGCCTTACCCAATCATTAACCTCTTTATAACTACCCCATTAATACACCTCTTAACTAGTACTAATAAGTAAATCGACACCTTTATATTAAAACGAAAGGTGTGTCGTTAAGTAGATGAGGTAACAAAAGTAAAAATCGGGTCAGTTATTAAATCAGTGTCAAGTCGAAACGCAGTGAAACCCTGGTGTGAGCGTGGTCAGCCCTCACCTGCCTCGCCACTCTAGCAAGGTTTGGACACAACAAACGTGGTGTTCCGCAGCTCTCAGTGTTCAATCTCAGTTTGGGGGAGGATTTGTGGTTATCAGTGGCCGTCGGTGTTGTTGTGACGTGTGTTGAGGTACTCAGGCCAGTAAATGATGTATAAAGAGGCCAGAAAAGTGTTGGAAACTTACCGTACTTTAAGAGTATTGGAGATCCAGTGAAACGTTTAATATGACATCCGGTTGCAAGACATTGGTGTGTGTGTGTTCAACTCGATGTGTACTTCAAGAGACGGTGGAATGTATTGTGTTAGTGATCTGTGTATGTTAGGTGGTATAGATGTATGAAGTTGTGTATTAAGTGTTAAAGTATGTCGGGTGTTGGGGTGAAGTCTATAACGGGACGGTGTGCATACCATCAACAAAAGCGTTTCCTCGTCCAGCTGACCCCGTGTGGACGAGTGGTAGTAGTAGTAGTATCCCGTCACTACATCCTCTACGACACACTACACATGAATTACATCTCGTGATTATAATAAACATGGAAATTCGCTTCGTATATAACCCACTAAAACTATTGTAAACACCGCCTGGACGACCCGAGTGTTTGCCAGCATGGACGACATAAAGTGGTCTTGGTGGTGAAGTGTTTTACCTCGAACTTGTACACAAAAGGTAAGAGAAAAGATGTTAGCACGAGGAAGTGAACGTAATGCCTCTCTCTGCTCCTCCAACTCCACCTTCTACGTCAACCTGGTAGAGGAGGTTCCCCAGGACGTGTTCATCGTCAGGACCGAGTACCTAGATCACTCTGTCTTGGAGGAGGAGGATGAGGACTTGTTGCTTGAGGACGAGACCGACTGTGGGGACACCCTTAGTGAGCTCAGTTGTTCCTTGTCTCAACAACTAGACGGCTATGGCACAGGTGAGTGTGTGAGGGTGAGTGTGTGAGGGTGAGGGTGAATGTTGTATGAGGGTGAGGGTGAATGTTGTATGAGGGTGAGTGTGTGAGGGTGAGAGCTGTTGTGGTTGTGTGGTCATTATTGGGGTGTGTCGCTCTAATGGCACACACACACACACACACACACACACACACACACACACACATACACACACACACACTTCATCTAGCCAATTAAAACACTCTACCTGACCAGCCAAGTCAAGTACCCGGATCTCTCTAGTCTAACAATGCAATTCAACCGTACAATAATTTAGCCACCAATAATTGAATATACAATCTAACCTAATCTAACCAAACCTGACTCAATGTAACCTAACGTAACTTAACCTCATTTAACTTGACTTAACCTAACAGCTTTTTAGTTTGATGAAGTATCTTTCATTAGTGGTTGAGGTAATTAGCATACACCTGTTGGCAATTTACCTGTTGTTAATCTACCTGTTGGCTCCTCGAGTTAATAACAAGAATAACAATCAGAGGAAAGTGCTGGATGCTGCAGGTGTTCTGGCCAAGGTAACACCCCCCCCCCCTTGTTGTGGCACCCTGTCCTATAGTGGCACCACCTCTCCTAAATTGGCACCCTTTGTCCTTCTAATCCTAACCTAACCTAACCATGCATCCAAGAGGCACTTATTCCTCCACCACTGGCACCTTATCCAACTACCCTACTCCCCTGGCACCCTAATCCTTCTTCAGTGCCACTAAGAACCTCCTAAAGTGCCATGATGGTTAGTATGCCTGTGGTAGTTCATGATCTGAAAGTGTTGGTTGGTGATTAGGTCTTGGTACGTGGTCAGCATCGTTAAGGGCGCCTACAACTAGTGGTGGTCAGCCTGTTACCTGTTTATTTATGAGAGGGATGAGAGGGAGAGGGGGGTAGTGGGGTGAGTGGTGGTGTGAGAGAGAGGGGAGAAAGAGAGAGAGAGAGTAAAGAGAGGAGGAGACAATTAGAGAAAGGGGGGAAGATGTGTTGTGTTAATTACAGGTGTGTTCTACAGGTGTGTTCTACAGGTGTGTTTTACAGGTGTGTTCTATATTGTCATTACAGGTTTGATTTCTCTCTGTTTATGTTGTATATATGTAAATAATGCAGGTGTGTACGTATATGTTAAACTCATTAGTATAGACTGGACACACCTGTTGCTATACCTTATAATTATGATCATTAAGGTTCAGTATTAATAAAACCTCCACATAACGAACTTTTCACCATATAATCCGTTATTTGCGGGGTTTACATCTAACGGACTCCTTGATATAACGGACTTTCATCTCTATATAGTTCGTCAGATGGAGGTTTCGCATATAACGAACTCTTTGATATAACGAACTTTCATCTATATAGTTCGTTAGATGGAGGTTTCGCATATAACGAACTCCTTGATATAACGGACTTTCATCTGTATAGTTCGTTAGGTGGAGGTTTCGCATATAACGAACTCTTTGATATAACGGACTTTCATCTATATAGTTCGTTAGATGGAGGTTTCGCATATAACGAACTCCTTGATATAACGGACTTTCATCTGTATAGTTCGTTAGATGGAGGTTGTATATGACCTATAATCTGAACTTGGTTACTGATGGGGTTATGTGGTGGTGTAACATGACCTGACCTGACCTAACTGACCTGACCTGACCGACCTCACCTAGCTGACCTTACCTGACCTCACCTTGCCTTACGTAAATTTATTAATATAAGTTGATTATTAAGACAGATTGATTATTTGACCCTGATATAGCAGCTATTTGACCCTGATATAACGGCTATATTTGACCCCGATATAACGGCTATATTTGACCCCTATATTGCGGCTATATTTGACCCCGATATAGCGGCTATTTGACCTTGATGTAGCGGCTATTTAACCCTGATATAATGTTGGGTTAACGGTTTATTATCATTGTGTTGTTGTGATGAAGGTTGTGTTGTAATCATCGTGTATTATCAACGGGTTGTGTCTTAGTGATTAGAATATAGATAACTCAGACCTGAAGACCAGGTGTGTGTGTGTGTGTGTGTGTGTGTGTGTATTGGGTTTTATATCTAGAAGTGTAAGTAATAAGAGTGCAGAGGTCTTATTGCAACTATATCTTGTGGCAGGCTTTAATGAGTGACGGATGGCAGGTTGAAGGGAAAGATGAAGGAGGAGAGGGGATAAGGAAGAAATAATGATGGCAGACCCTAAGTGAGTGGCAGACGGTCGGGATTTGTGTGTGTGGTCGGTTTAATCTTCAAGGATCGCCGTAGTGTTTACATTAGGGAGGGGGGGGGAGGAGATGATGGCAGCCTAGGAGGCAGTGGCAGACTTCTAGCCCCCCTCTCTTACTTCCCAATTCCCCCTCCTCATCCTATTTCCCTCCACCTCACCCCCTCACCCCTCCCCCCCATCTCACCCCCTCTCTCCCTATTTCCCCCTTCCTCACCCTACTTCTCTCACCCCTTCCCCATCACTTGATTCTCTGCACCCCACCCTACTTCTCCTCCCTCACCCCATTTCCACTCCCACCCTATCACTTCACATTTCCTTTATCACCTTCCACTCCATTTTCTTGTAACAGGATAAGAGACAAACAAAGAGGGAGGGGAGAGATGAGGGGGGGGAGGGGGGATTTATCTGAACTATTAGCTTCCACTACTGCCTCTCTCTCCACACACACACACACACCCACACTTCCTCGCTAAAAGCATCCCTCACGCACTCACTCACTCACTCACTCTCAGCCACTTAGAGGTTCAATTTCACAACAACAAACAGTTCAAGATTAGTCTTCCGATTCACAAAGGTTCATAAAGATATATTTCTCTCTCACCCGAGGTTCAAAAGATACAGTAATTGGTGGTTCAAAATATATGTAGTGGTTCAAAATCACAGCTAGAGGTTCAAAAACACACACTCACACACCGACCTAATTCAAGACATCACTCAATTCAGGTTTCACAAGTGGGTGTCGAAAGTGCACTATAACAACACACACACTAATGGTAGCCTGAATCATTGTGTCGTTCCAGTTAAGAGAATGGAATAAACACACCTTATAGATTGTCTGACCTCCCCCTCCCCTCTGGCTAGGATCACGCCAACACACACACACACACACACATATACACACATATACACACATATACACAGAGCACGTATTTTTATTGAGGTTTCCTGGAACAGTGTGTGTGTGTGTGTTGGCGTGATCCTAGCCAGAGGGGAAGGGAGTGATGAAATAAGGCTGTGGGTGTATCAAGACTGCCACACACACACACACACATGTCTAACCAAGGCCTCATTAACCCTTTGAGTCTTTATAAGCTTTATCATGAACCTATTACGATTTAGACACATTATAATTGGGATTCATTATACTCTACTGCCCACTCGACCACCCACCAGCCACCCACCCACCCACATACCCTCATAGTGTTACAATGGTTTTTTTTTTTGTCATCCTTTCCTGTTCGTGGGAGCAGCGCCGGACATAGCAACGCGCCCCCCACTTTCCCAGAACCCTCCCAGGTGCTCCCATGGCCCAGTACTGGTCACGGGGCGGGGCGGGGTGGGGCGGGGTGGGGTGGGGTGGGGTTGAATGAGGTGGGGCAAAGGAGGAGAACTTATAGCATATGTAAGTTCTCTCCTTTGCCCCACCCTGCCCCCGCCACGCCTCGCCCCTGCTCCTTGCCCCGCCCCGCCCCGGTAATTACAGCTTGAGGTGGGTATCATTGTGTTGGGCCTGTATTGTTGTGTGTTAATAAAGCGTTGAGCTGAATGTTTTATACTGCTCTCTCGCCTATCATCTTTTATCCGTCTCCTTCCTTCCTTCCTTACAGTGAGAAGTGATACCACCCTCAGTGTCAAGACCTGACTGAATTACTCACAATAGGCAAACTGTACTACAAGCTTTGTCAATAAATTTGTTAAACTTAAAAACTACCTCCCTCCTTCCCTCTCTTTCTCCCACATCTTTCTTTCTCCTGTCTCTTCCTTCCTCTGTCCTCCCTTCCCCCCCTCCTCTTTCTTCCCTCCTCCCCCTCTCACCATGTTTATCCTTCTTTCTCTCTCTCAATCCACCATCCATATCCGGTGCTTTTAGGCGTCATCGACCATACGCCCCTGACCTCCCAATTTCCTCCCTGCCCTCCTTCACCTGCCCTCCCCCTGTTCTCCCCTGCCCCTCCCCTTCCTCTCTCTCGTCTTACTTCTGAATAAAGTGTTTGTTATGGTAGACTGGTGGTGATGGAGGGTGGTGGTGGTGATGGAGGGATGATGGTGAGGGAGGGTGTGTTGGTGAGTGATGGTGAAGAGTATTAAGGATGTGTTAATGGGGGAGGAGGGATGTGTTGGAGATAGGTAGTGATGGCGTAGGTGTGTTAATGAAGGAGGGAAGAGGCTAGAGGTGAACCCCCTCCCCCCCTCCCCTGTAACTTGAGGTGTTCTCTTGAGTGTGTGTGTCAGTCAGTCACTCAGTCAGTCAGTCAGTCAGTCAGTCAGTCAGTCAGTCAGATGAAAGCTATTTATACCTGCCTTTGTTTTCCTAGTATAGAAGTGATGACGTTACACATTGATTCTGGGTAAATTTATTGAACTTTTAAATCCTCTTCATCTGTGTCTGTACCTGTGTCTCTACTTGTACCTGTGTCTCTACTTGTACCTGTGTCTCTACCTGTACCTGTGTCTCTACTTGTACCTGTGTCTCTACTTGTACCTGTAATTTCTTTAATTAGTCCCGTACGTGCGTCTCCCAGCTCACGGAACTCGGCCTTCGGGACAGTCCAGTCTTACGCCACTCATGACCTAACGTGCCCCCCTGTGTGTGTGTGTGTGTGTGTGTGGACGTAGAGAGTTAAAACGCGGGGCAGTGATAAGAGAGGTTGTTACGTGTATTGAAAACAGCTACTGATTATCTCATGATAGTTGGTACGTTTAGGTGTTGTGGTGATTAGGTCGATACTGTTGCTATTAGGTGATTAG